TAAAATATTATCATAAAAAAAAAATAACATGTGTTTCTAATAATTGTTTTTTTTCTAGAGATTTGAAATTTTAAAACTAAATTAATAAATTAAATAAGCCATATTCTACGACGACTCAAGATCTTGACCTATTCGAACTATCTAATTCAAACCATTAACATTGGTTGGGTTAGCTTTCTGGGTTAATCCCACTAACTCGAAAATAAGTCTATAGCCCAACTCAATTCTACCTTATCCTATTTTTACGATTATCATTATTATTAAAAATATATTAAGATTTTAAAAATAAAGTATATAATTAGATTATTATATGCTTATATTTGTGATTGAATTACCTAAAAAAGCAACCCACTTATCAAGTTACCAAAAATTATATAAAATTAATGATTTTCCCCGACCAAGAAAATGTCAGCAACCAACCCTAATTTTTCAATTTTCCAAAAATTCAACCCAATCCAGCTTTTATGGTCCAAGGTTGGATAGTTAGATTGGTTTTGTTAGACAACGCGACTCTCCACAATGGTATGATATTGTTCACTTTGAGCATAAGCTCTCATGGCTTTGCTTTAGGGTTTCCCCCAAAAGGCTGACAAAAGTCTCATGCCAATGGAGTTAGTATTCTTCACTTATAAACCCATGATCATTCCCTAAATTACCATGTTAGACGAACACAACTCTCCAACAATGCGCTTAAGGCTTTGCTTTGGGGTTCCCCAAAAGGTCTCATACCAATGGAGTTAGTATTCCTCACTTATAAACCCATGATCATTCTCTAAATTAGCGGATGTGGGACTTTCATCATCCAACGGGTTTTATGGTCTCAATATATATATATATATTTTCTATATTTTCTAATTTTTTTAATATTTAATATTAATATTTAAAAGTCTCATGTCTTCCAAAACTATACTTATCACATACATTAAATTACTAGAGTTTATAAATTTAGAGAGAACATTCAATGCATGATGTTGAAATAATAGTCTATACCAACTTAGGATATAATCTTGAAAAACACTTTTAATTTTTTTAAAAAAAAATTAAAAATACCATTATAGTTTAAAAAACATGCATCAATTTAAAAAGTTATATTAAAAATTTTGGAGATAATCTATGATATTAAGAGTAATAATTTTTTTAATTTTTATTTTATAAAGGTATATGGTGTTAATTCTACTCTAAATTTTTATGAGTATTTTTTTAATCCACGGTAAGAATATTTTGAATTTTTAAAAAAATTATAAATTTTTTTAGAGTTTAAAGGTATCTTTTGAAACACTAGTTCAATTTTTAAAATAGTTTTTAAATTTAAAAATATTATTAAAATTTTTTTAAATGGTTAGGAATAAGAAATATAATTGGGATTTAAATAATATTCATAACGTTTAAATAGAATACAAGCTATCAACTAATACATATCCCTCAGTAAAATATAAATTAATTAAAGATTGAAAATAAAATAAAATATGATAATATATTATTTAAATATAAAAATTTAAGAATATTTTTATTAATTTATCCCTAAATATTAATAAATTTGTCATTGCTTTAAAAAAATACTTTTATTTTTGTTATGAAATAGACATTCTTTCATAAATAATATGGATAAATATCTTATTATTATGAGAATTAAACGTATTTTTTTATATTTAAACCCCGACAGTGTCAGTTTACATTAATATATCAAATTAAAAAAATAATTAATCGTCGTGGATGACAACGAGGTATCCAAGAAAATGACGTGGCGATTCAGTTGTCCTTATCCAAATGTTTTGGAAAAAGCGACACGTGTCTATAAGGGCCCCACCAGCTACCCCTAGTTTTCATCGAAAGTCGGCCCATTTAAACGAATCCTACACCGATTACCGAACACGCCGGTCGTTTCAGCTGAGCAAGATCCACTCTACTACTTCCTTCTACAGACCATTGTCGCTGCTCTTTTACGGCGGCGAGACCGGCGGAATGAATGATCAGAGGGCGGAGCGTGAGCCGGCGGCGAAGGGGCTGAGGGACCCTTCTGAATCTTCGAACCAGACGACGGGGTTTTGCAGTGCTGTGGGTTCGATTGCAGCAATGGCGGCTAAGGCGGAGAAGGTTAAGCGGGCTGAGGAGTCTCTCAGAACGGTTATGTATTTGAGCTGTTGGGGCCCTAACTAAACGCCGTCGTTTTCTCTTGGAAACGATGTCGTTTAGAGTGTAAATTTGTTCATGCTTCTTTTTTTAATCTTAAATCATAGTTTAAAATGTTGATAGGTCAATTTTTTTTTTTTTTTTTTTTTTTTTTTGTAATCTATTAAATTAATATGTAATTTGTTTACCTTAAATTATGTCTCTCGAGAATGAGTTCAACATTTGTAACGACTAATGTCTAGGATTCAGGTCAAGATTTGAAATCTGATTTTGACACTCGGATAGTTTAGATATTTTCTTGCATCCTCTTAAACCAACACGAGTTCTTTTAGCATATTTTATTTCACTCACATGCATACAAGAAAATTTTTCAATTAGTCACCCAACAAATATTTTTGTACATAGTAATGATTTTGAATCCCTTACACATATTTTTGGAAAATTATTAACAAAATTGAAAATAGTAAGGCACGGTAATCGATTTTATTATTGATTAATTTCTTTTATGTCGTACCAGATTCAAGGGTCTTGGATGATGAAAATTCTAGCTCAGCTAATTTAGGGAATGATTGTGCGTTTATAATACTACTCTCTCCATTGTTGTGAGGCCTTTTGGGAAAACACAGCAAAGCTATGAGAGTTTATACTCAAAGTAGACAATATCATATCATTGTGAAGAGTCGTGTTCCTCTAACAAAGAGTTTTATGGTAATTTTGATATAACAAATGGATAGAAATGTCAATGTGAAATATGAATCTAGAAACTGGGCTGTCTTTATAATGGACCTATGTCCATTTGGGCACCCAAGCACGTTTATGGCCGATTAGATTTGGGCCAGTGGACCTACCCAATTCAAAAGTAAATTTAAGGTAACGAAAAAAGAGTATCAAGATAGCCAATAGAAGTATAGAGAAAATTATGCTCGATGAAAAATTTCACGAACGTACCTTGTTCAAATTAGTTTTTTCAATACAACATCGTCTATATCAGCAACCAAACTTAATTATCGATAGATTTCAAACAGAACGCATGTAATCATTATCTATCACTAATAGACTTGTATTAAAAAAAATAATGAGTAAAACTATGAAAATCATGGTAAAGATGAAAACGAATTATGAATGGATGAATGAACGAACGAACTAATAAAATGGGACAAAATGAACGTTTTATCTTAAAAATAGGATAAGCTCAATGACACAATTCATGCCATTCTCATTGCCATGACAATCTTTCATACTAATACCGTGATCCCCATTTCCCTCTTTTTTTTCTCCTTAACCTAATTTCTTAATTTCACACTCCATATTCTTCCCTCTACTTATATTCTTTTATAAAGTTCGGTATTTATTATTATTTGAGATGTTTTACACGTCTAATAGATATATCTTTTTTGAGCGGTTACAAATGATATCAGACTTAGTCATCGAACGGTGCAAGACACTGTTTGGAATAGGGCTAGACTCTGTCTATTTGATACTTTTGCATAAAAGAGGTGCATATCTAAAGACGGTAAGAAAATAAAAGTGACTTGCACAGAATTAATACTTATAAAATTAGTGTACATTTTTTTTTTTTTTTTTTGGTTAACCAAAAAAAAATTAGTCTTTAAAAATGATGTACTATTTAACGGTTCATCAAACCTTGCTCATACGTGTAAATGTAATCAATTAGGGACAAAGAAAATGTACCCATAATTGAGATATTCAAAACAATGTGCAAAGTTGTTTTCAAACGATGGGGGAAGTAGGTGGTGCTCTTCACCCACCCATACGCACACCATGGCAAGCCCATGGCCTTGGTTTAAAGACCTATGTTCTACCAACTACTCATTACCCTCCTCTTTTTGGGCGTGGGAGTGCGTTGACAAAGACAAATCAATGGCTGCTGTTCATGATTGGATCTTACAATATCCACTAATTCATCCCACACCATTCGAAAGCAGATATTTGTCTATTTTAGTCGGTTACGTATCGACTTTAAAACGCGTCTACGCCCTTCTACCGATTGTTTCTTTCTCTTCTCCAACTAATGTGAGATCTCACAATTCATCCCTTGAGACTGTTATGTGTCGCTTTTAAAACGCATCTACGCCCTTAAAAAATAATGTTTCGTTTCCTTCTCCAACTAATGTGTTCCCCTCTTCAATTAACGTGGGATCTCACAATTCATCCCCATTGAGACCCCTCTCCAATTAATGTGAGATCTCACAATCCATCCTATTGTTATGTGTCGCTTGTAAAATGCATCTACGCCCTTAAAAAATAATGTTTTGTTTCCCTCTCCAACTAACGTGTTCCCCTCTTCAATTAATGTGGGATCTCATAATTCATCCCAATTGAGGCGGTTACATATCAGTTTAAAAACCTGTCTATGTCATGTTTCGTTCCCTTTTCCAACCAATGTGAGATCTCACAATTCAGTTTCTGTCATTCTTCTCTCCAATCAATGAGAGATCTCACCATCCACCTCATGGAGCCATTACGGATCAGTTTTAAAATGTGTCTACGCTCACCACTCCAACCAATGTGAGATCTCACAATACACTATCTGCCCTTATAAGTAATGTTCTGTTTCCCTCTCCAATCAATGTGGGATCTCACAATCCACCACTAGAGCCAAGTTTTAAAATGTGTCTATACTCTTATAAGAAATCTTTCCTTCCCCTCTCCAATCAATGTGGGATCTCACAATTCACCCTCTTAGAGGTCAGCATCCTAGCTGACACATCACCCAATATCGGACTCTGATACCATTTGAAATATCAAGTTCACCGCTAACAAATATTGTCCGATTTAGCTCATTACGTAACGATTTTATGCATCTACACGTTTATAAGAAATGTTTTGTTCCATTCTCGAACTAGAGATCACAAAATGACACCATATTTGTTCATGAAAGATAATAATTACACAAAATAAATGAGAAATTGATATTGATATGTGAAGTTCATGGTAAAAAGTAACACTTACAAAGTGATTACAGTGAAATAATAAGCATTCTAAGCATAGCCTCCTCCTCCTCCTTTTCCCATTTCAACTCCTCTGTTCTTAGCAGGGAAATCAGTGTCACGAACAAATCTTCTCCAGTACCAATGCTTCTTCCAAACTTGGCTCATTTCTTCAATAGGAATGCCCTTGGTCTCAGGCAAGAACAAGGCTACGAAGATGGACATGACCACAACAAAGAAGGCGAAGAATATGAACAACCCAAACTTCATATGGCACAGCATCGTCAAGAACACTTGAGCAATTACGAACGTGAAGAACATGTTGACTGAAACGTTTACACTTTGAGCAGCTGAACGAATCTCTAATGGAAAGATTTCACTCGGCACAAGCCAACCTAGAGGCCCCCATGACCATGCGAACCCTGCAACATATATGCAAATGAACAACACCACCACTATGGCATACCATTTCGGCAACTCATCCGGGTTCCCACTTACTCCAAATTTTGCTCCAATAGCTGCCGCCACGACCGCCTGCAAAAAAACCAGACACGATCAACATTTTAACTTCATGTTCTTGAGGATTGTTGGGAGGGAGTCCTACATTGGTTAATTTAGGGAATGATCATAGGTTTATAACTAAGTAATACGTTCTCCACTGGTATGAGACCTTTTGGGGAAGCCTAACCCAAACCTCTACAATATCGTACTAGTGTGGAAATTCGTGGTTCCTAACATGGTATCAGAGTCATGCCCTTAACTTACCATGTCAATAGAATCCTCAAATGTCGAACAAAGAAGTTGTGAGCCTCGAAGGTGTAGTAAAAAATGATTCAAGTGTCGAACAAAGGATGTACTTTGTTCGAGGACTTCAGAGAAGGAATCAAGTCTCGATTAGGAGAGGCTGTTCGAGGGCTCCATAGGTCTCAGGTGAAACTCTATAGTGTATTTTGTTTGAGGAGAGGATTGTTATCATGAATGATCATGTGTTTATAAGTAAAAGAATACATACCTGACAGATAAACATTTGAACTCCACCTTCAAGAAAAAGAAACCTCCGTCCCCATTTATCGACACCATAGATCGACACAATGGTAGCAGCAACATTAACGCAACCGGTGATCACAGCCGACATCAAAGCAGCATCGCTTCCGAACCCGATCGTGTTGAAAAGAACAGGAGCATAGAACATAATGACATTGATGCCAGTGAGTTGTTGGAAGAAGGGAATCAAGATAGCCACACTCAGATGAGGTCTATATTTTCGCTTCAAAAGATTAGTCCATGGATTCTGCACTTTCTTCGACTCATCACTGGCTGCAACAAGATCATTAAACTCTTCATCAATGTCCTCAACTCCACGGATTCTTTTCAGTTGCTGTCGAGCCTCGTCGTTGCGTCCTCGCTCGATCATGGAGTTCGGAGTGTCAGGAAGAATCAACGATCCAACAGAGATTATAAGAGCAGGCACCACCGCGCCGCCCAAACTCAAACGCCATCCCCAACCACCTTTGATCTTCGCGAAGAAATAGTTCAACACATTGGCTATCAAAATCCCAATTGTAATCGACAATTGAAAACCAATATTCAGAGCTCCTCTGTATTTGTATGGAGCCATTTCCGACAGATAAAGCGGCACAGACTGTAAAAAAAAAACCCAAAAAAACAACCAATTCAAAACAGAGCAATAAGAAATATCCACTGATTTCAAAAAAGAAACAAAACCCATTTTTTATTTCATGATTATGACATATAAACAACATAAATTAATAAAAATAAAAACAACCCCAGTTGTGTTTGTCCAAATGTTTCGCCATCGCTCTCTGTGGGGTCAAAACAGAGCAAAAAACAGAGGAAGGTACCTGATTGGCAAATCCGATACCAAAACCAAGCAAAATACGGCCAATAATAAGCATCTCAACGTTCTTAGCAGCGGCATTAATGATAGCACCGGCGCAAAACAGGACACCACCGAACAACATAGACAATTTCCTCCCAAATTTACGCGTCACCGTCGACGCAACCAACGACGACAACAGCGCCGCTAAGTAAAGCGACGACGTGAACAACGTCAACGTTACGCTGTCGTACTGACAGTACTGGTTCGACGTTTGGTTCTCGTCCTTCTTCCTGAACACCGACGGGAAGAATTTCTTCAAGAACGAGTCCATGGAAGTCACCCCACCTACACCGACCGACCCACCAAAACAAAATCAACAAAAAAACCCATATAATTCATAATCCGTCCGATAAAATTGCAGAATCCGTACCTGAAATCCCAATATCGTAGCCGAAAATCAAACCGCCCATGGCGGCAACGACACATGTTACAGTGACATACAGAGTAAGGTTGCCGGGATACTCCTTTTTACTGCCGCCGACGGCGATTCCGACAGCCGGCATTTTGGATCAAGCTCGAACAAAAACAAGATGAACTAGAAATTAAATAGCATGAGAGAGAGAGTGGCGACAGGGTTTGAGTTGAAAAATGTTATTTATAGAGAAGATGGACAACTCCGAGCAATAAATTATTGAAAAATAATTATGAATTATCGTAAAATATTTTTAAGATAATATTTTAGCGTAGACATGGTAAATCAAGATAAGAACAGATGGGTTTTGTAATTTAAGGATTATTTTCCTTAAATCTATGCGTTGAAATTTCGTGTTTTTTTTTTTTATAATTATTTTTATAAAAAATTGAGTTTTGTTAATATATATATATTTTTTTAAAAATAATAATTATTTAATTTGATGATGGGTCAATACCATAAGCTTTTAACCCCCTAATAAATGCTGTAGATAAGATCGTGAAATTTTGAATTTAAGATTTATTTATTTATTTATTTATTTATTATTGTTGGAATATCAAGTTGTGAGATCAGCTGAAACATACAAGTTGGAGGTGACTGGGAATAGCCAGTCAACGCCGGTCAAATGGGAATGCTAATTCTAAGTGCATACGTCATTATTTCGTCGATATTTTTTCCATTACCAAAAATAAATAAATAAATAAATAAATAAATATATATATATATATATATATTTTTTTTTTTCCTTTGGTGAAGTAAGAAATTTGAATAAAATTCACAAATCAATTATCTATTTTCAGGTTGGATTGAGTTGGGTTGTCGATTCATAACCAAAATCTTATAGAGCTTAAATATTAGACATTCACAAGTCACAATGCATCATCACCAACATCGATTACAAACGTTAAATATTCTTAATTTTATAATAATCTTGAGAGAATGATAGGGTTGGATTGCAACCCTTTTTTCGGATTAGTTGGGTTGATTCAACCAAAAAATTGTTAATCCATAAATTGAACCAAATTTTTTATTTTTTCAAAAATTTGTGTTCAATATTGCACAAAAAGAAATAAAATAGTACCCGTCAAGTCGAGAAAATATAATGTGAATGAAAGGAAAATAATAGTTTTAGATTTGATATCATATACTATACCCACCAAGTGTATGAGTGTAAAGAGGTGGAAGTCAAAGAAATACACTTTGAATTTTCTTAGTTTACTTTGAAAATGCATTAAAAGCTTAGCATATAACATTGTAATTACTCCCTAGTTTGGTGTGGGTTATGCTTTTTCAAGGTTGAAAATTTGTTCAATGGAGTGAGAAACGAGATCTTTAAATTCTCAGGGTTTTTTTTCGTTTTTCGGATATGAAATTAAAATTATTTGTGTTGAAATATGAAGATACTCAAATCGTTCATTTGAGAGTTTTTGCTTGTTTGTTCTTATGGTGATAGTCAACTCATAAACTTCAGTTTAGTTTTGATATTTTGGTCATAGGTTTTAGATACATTAATTAAGTTCGAGGAGATCCTATATTGGTTGGATAGGAGAGCGAAACATTTCTTGTAAAGGCGTGGAAACATCTCCATAGAAAACACGTTTTAAAACTTTAAGGAAAACCCATAAAAGAAAGTAAAAAAAGACAATATCTACTAAAGTTTTTACAAATGGTATTAGAACCAGGTTTTCGAGCGGTGTGCCAGTGAGGACGCTAGACCCCAAAGGAGGTAGATTGTGAGATCCTATATTGGTTGGAGTGGAGAATGAACCATTCTTTATAAATGTGTAGAAACTTCGAGCCAGGTTCTAAGTAGTGTGCCAACATCGTTGGACCCCTATAAGGGTAGATTGTGAGATATTACATCGGTTAGAGAGAAAAACGAATCATTCCATAATATAAGGGTGTGGAAAACCTCTTCTTAGATGACGCATTTGAAAACTTTAAGGGGAAAGCTCAAAGAGGGCAATATTGCCAACGATGGATTTGGGTTACAAGTTTAACGGTTTTTTTAATATAATGTGTATTATAACTGATGTTCGTGACAATTTTGTCTATATTTTATTTTTATTGTTATATATATATATATATATATATTTAAGTTTAGTGTTCATAAATTCTATAAATTTAGTTGTTGGATGATATTATAAATATATTGGTTTGATTTTTCTTTATGTGCTTTGGGTCAATATTATTTTCAAAAGTTGCTGTCTATGAAGCTGACCATAACTATAAATAAAGATTTCTTTTCAGATTTTACTTTTAAGTTTATTAATGTTAAAAGTTTTATTTTATTTTGTGTGGACTTCCTACAAACATATTATTAAAAAAAAAATTTAATTATTAATAACAATTAAAAGTCGAGTAAAAATAACCACGATTTTATAAGAAATAGTCGACGTTGCACGTAGAGATATTCATGGGGCGTAGACGGAAAAACCTTCCCTGTCCCCCTTTCCAATCACCTATTTTATTCTTTTTCTCCACGAGATAATCTATTTATTTTTGCAAAGATTAGAGCGGGGATTCCCCAAAGAATATATGGGGTCGAGTTCCCGTGATAATTTTTTTCCATTTATTTTTCTTTTTTAGAAAATAATTATTTTAAAATTTTCATTTTTCAATAATAAATTTCATAATCAAATATAATATACAAATATAATTTTTAAAAATTTAAATTTTAATATTACTAACCTGTATAATATAATTTTAAGTTTAGATTTTATAATTAGAGTCTCGAAATTAACTAATTTATTTTTAATATATATACTTATTTGTGTGTAGAAAATATAGTTGGATTGGGGCGGAGACAGAATTGACAGGAATATAATTCCATCTCCGACCTCATTTATTTAATGGAAAAAAATGTTCCCTACTACCTTGCCATTCTCTATCTAAACGGGATCCCGAAAAGTTAGTTTTCAAAAAAAAAAAAAAAAAACGAGAAATTCTATTACTAGTCTTGTCGCTCTATTTACACGTCACAATATAAACCCTAAACCCTAATAAATATAGTATCTTTTATTTATATATACTTATAATTTTGTTGGGTAAGTCAATAGCATAAATAATGAGAAAAAAAAATATCAAATAATATTTTTGAGACATAATTGAAACGTAAGACAAATAATTGATTTTTTTAATTTAAAAACACTAATTATTTTTTATAAACGCATTTAATTCCAATTAATTTAAATTATTATGAAACAATAATGAAATATATAATAATTGGAAGATAAATAAAAAATAAAAAAATTATGATGACGTAAGAGAAATACAAGGCCAGACTGTCGGTATGATAAACGGCGAAAGGTCAAAGTCAACTTAATCCGGGGACCCCATAGCTGTCCCACACTATTTTCCTTTATTTTTATTAATAGAAATTAATATTTTTCAACGCCATCATTTCCTATTCCTCTTAGTATCTTAAATATTAATAAATAACAATACCCATAAGTCATCGTCCATCTGAGCTGGACTTTATAAGGACGTAGTTTAAATGGGTTGGAAAATCCTATTTAAACCAAAAAAAATAAGGAAAGACTAGAGTGAGATTTGTCCTATATAGATAAATGGGGTCGGGGTCCGAGTTTTCTACCAGGGTTCACGTTTTTGGTTGTTGTTTAGTTTCCAACTCATTTACTCGTTCACGTTATTTTGTAGGATTCCATATCAGTTAGAGATGTTAGACGAACACGACTCTCATGGCTTTACTTTGGGAGCTTCCCAAAAGGCCTCAAACCAATGGAGTTAAATTAGCCGATGTGGGACTTTCATCATCCAACACCTCCCCTTAATCGAGGCTCGACTCCTGTTCGACTCTCCACAATGGTATGATATTGTCCACTTTAAGCATAAGCTCTCATGACTTTGCTTTGGGCTTCCCAAAAGGCCTCATACCAATGGAGTTAGTATTCCTCACTTATAAACCCATGATCATTCCCTAAATTAGCCGATGTGAGACTTTCATCATCCAACAGGAGAGAGAACGAAACATTCGTTATACGCGTATGGAAACCTCTCCTTAGTGGTGAACTTAGGCTGTTATAGATGGTATCAGAGCTAGACATCATGTGGAGTGTCAACAAGGACGCTCGGTTCGTAAAGGGGGTGGATTGTGAGATCCCACATTGGTTGAAGAGGAGAACGAATAATTTCTTATAAGGTGTGGTAACCTACCCCTAGCAGAAGTGTTTTAAAACTGTGATACTGAATTCTTTATAAACGTGTGGAAGACTGAATTGTTTATAAGAGTGTAGAAATCTTTCCTTGACAGACACATTTTAAAATCGTGAGACTGACGACGATACGCAACAGGCCAAAGCAGACAATATCTGCTAGCCGTGAACTTAGGTTGTCACAGATGGTATCAGAGCGAGGACACTAAGTCTGCAAAGGGGGTGGATTATGAGATCCCACATCGGTTGGATAGAGAAACGAAACATTTTTTATAAGGCGTGGTAACCTACCCTAGTAGACACGTTTTAAAACCGTGATACTGAATTCTTTATAAATGTGTGGAAGACTGAATTCTTTATAAGGGTGTAGAAACCTCTCCAAGACAAACACGTTTTAAAATTGTGAGACGGATGACGATATGTAATGAGTCAAGGAAACCTCTTCTAACAGACATGTTTTAAAATTGTGAAACTGATAATGAAACAGGTTAAAGTGGACAATATCTACTAGCGGTGAGCTTGAGCTATTACACATTTTTTCTTTCCGAACATCGAGAATTAAAAAAGGGCAAATTGGGAATAATTAAATTGTGGTGAGTTGGAAAAGAAATAGAAAATAAAAAGGATAAGAATGTGGGAAAATGGTGGGTGAGGTGTTCACATGATCAAAACCTGTGATTCTGAAATGGATGAAACAATGGAAGCTGTTTCCTCAATTTGTTTACCCTAATTTGCTTTATTTCCTCATCTGCCGCCATAATCCATTCATATTTATTTATTTATTTATTTATTTATTTTTATAATTTATATTGACTTATTCAAAAAAAAATACAATTAAATAAATACAATTATTTTCTTGCGGAAAATGGAATTTATGGTGTGAAATTACTTCTTTGAACATGGCAATGCCAGGACGCGGTTTCGTTCACACTTACACTTTCACACCAAAACAGAAAGTTTAATAAATTCCCATTTTCGTAATTTCCAATTTGT